TGGGATTGCTGTGGGGAGTGGGGCTGCTTGAGTGGGGGGCATTGGGGGCTGCAAAGATGGGGGGCCCTGCTGCATCCCCCCCAGGGAGCGAGTGAGGGGCTTGGGGCAGCTCTTTGCCCCCTCCCACAGCGATGCCGGTGGGAGTGATGGGCTGAGGGTGCAGCCGGCTCCCCGGGGCAGGGAGTACCTATGCTGTGGTGGGCAGGACCGGGGTGCAGGGAGGGACCGAGCCCCTCATCCCTACACCTGGTGGGGCTGTCACCCTGCCCCAGGACCTGTGGATTGGGATGCTGAGGGGGTCTGAAGGGTGGCACCCCAAATTTGCTGGTTTGGGAGATCTCCTCTCATCTCGGTCATCCCCTTGCTCCAGGACACTTGGTGGGGAGAGGAGGGCTGGGGTGAGCAGAGGCAAGGAGGGTGCTGGGGGGGGTTTACAGGGTGCTGGGTAATACCGGGGTGCCCCGACTCCTGGGTCCTCCCCCCCACCGCAGCCCTGACTGTGCCGCATTGCCGGGGGCTGGCTGCGGCATGTCTCTGTGCCTCAGTTTCCCCCATGTGCCGGGGCATGCTGCGCTGCGGGGCGCTGCCAGCTCTTTGTTCACTGGCTGGCGGGGTGGGGTGGGTGGCGGTGGGGATGGCAGTCCCCCAAGAGACCCCCGGCCATCCCATTGCCGCAGCCGCCCTCATCCTTCCCATCCCCACAGCCTTGACCATGGGGATGGCAGTAGGGACCCCCCCACACACAGATGAGTGTCAGTGGGACCAAAACCCCCTCAGTGTGGGTCTGAATCTCCAATTAACCCCTGACAATTTGGGGTTCGCAGGAGGAGCCCCTGGGGTGGGGCAGGTGGGAAACCCCCGCACTCACTCCCAAAGGGGTCTTCCTTCACCCCCTGCCTTGGGAGAAGGCAGGGGGGGACAGTTGGTGCCCCCCATCACATCGCAGGACACTATGGGGTGCAAGGAAAGGTGGGGACCCATGGGGGAGTGGGGCTGAGACCTGGCAAACTCACTCTCTGGGGCAGCTCCATGGGGTCCAAGTGGCAGCTCAGCCCCGGCCCCTCACTGCACACACCCGCTGGAGACTCAGTGCCAGCAGGATTGCCTGCCACCATCCCCAACCCCCGCTTCCCAGCTCATCCCTGTCTGCCCGGAGGAAACTGAGGCACAGCGGGGTAGCTCAGCTCCATCCCTGCCCCTGTCCCCCCAACTGCAGGCTGCCACAGGGTAGTGCTGGCACAGCCTGGGGAGGGGGAGAGCCATAGCCCCCAAACTCCTCTCACCCCACACTTTGCCGGCAGCCCCTGGCATGGGGGGGTCCCGGGGCTACTCCCCCCCTCGTTTGCCTTTCAGCGTCATCGAGAACCAGCAGACGCTGATGACCTTGACCCGGGCTGACATGAGGATGCTGCGGGACCTCAGGAGCCTGTGAGCACCCCGGGGTGGGGTCCCTGCACAGGGAAATGGGGGGGGCTGGGGGATCCCCAGAGCTTGATCTCACTGCAGGGAGGTGAAGTGGGGTGCTCCTAGGATGGGGATTCGGGGTCCCCAGTGTGGGTGCTCAGCCCTTCCCTCCCCCAGCACCATCTCCAGGTCGGGGCTGCAGCACGTCTCTGCCGACGCCTTCCTGGACACCCCCAGGCTGAGCTATGTGTGAGTATCCCCCCGCAATTCCCTCCCCCAACCACCCCCCCCTCCCAGTTTGGAGTCTCGGCCCCCCATCCCCACAGGCACTCGGCCCCACTGCAGGGTGGCTTGTCCCCACGCCCGGGCAGGATCGATGGTGTCCCACTGTCCATCGGCATATCAGCTGGGCTGGGGGGGGCCGCGTGGGGCTCTGCCGCTGAGTGGGAAACCATCGATCGAGGGCAGGAGTGCAGGCAGCTGCCTGCTCCCCTGGGAGCTCCGTGCTGCCCTGATATGGGAGGGGACCCCAGAGAGCAGGGACACACACACCCTGTCTTGGGGTGTGTGAGGCCTCCCCCCTTGCAGGGAGGTGCCTAAAGGCTGGTGGCACCCTGGCAGAGGTGGTTTTGCTTGGTCACGGTGTGACAGTGGTGACCCGGGTGCTGCCCTGTGCCCCGGCCAGACCCTCTGCAAGAGTGGGGTGATGCAGGACAGGGGTCTGCAGTGGGAAGGGGGGGCTGACCGCGGGGTCTGTCCCGGCAGGAATCTTTCCTCCAATGCGCTGCAGAGCCTTTCCTGGAAGACCTTCCAGCATCTGCCCCTGCAACAGCTGTGAGTGATGGTGAAGCGGGGGGGAGAAGGCGGGTGTGGAGTATCCCTCACCGGGGAGATACCCCGGGGTGATGTGGAGGCAGGGATGGGGCTGGGGCTGCAGTGAGATGGCGGCTCTGACAACCACGGGCATGGCGACAGGGACAGGGGTGGCACATGTGGCACGCTACCTGGCCCTGGGTGCATCCGGGAGCACCGGCAGCACTCGGTGCAGGATCAGTGCCACCAGGGTTGGGGCTGCCAGCATCCAGCCTCATCTGACCTCGCTGGGGATGTATACACCTAGGCCACCGCAGCTTGTTTGACCCCTTGTCCTCTTCCCTGTCTCATCTCAGCATCCTGGTGGGAAATCCCTTCAACTGCTCCTGCGGCCTCCGCTGGTTGCAACTCTGGCAGAATGGGAGCCGGGCCGAGCTGGGGAACCAGTCGCTGGGCTGCTGGGAGGGCAGCGTACTAGTCCCCCTGGGCAGACAGCCCCTCCACGCCTGCGGTACATGGCAGGGGACCCCACTGGATGCCAGCTTTGTCGTCCCCTCCGCCCCATCCTGAGTCACTTGGCTGGGGAGAGCATGGGATGTATGGTGGAAGGGTGGGGGGACACGATGTGGCCCCGCTCACCCCATTCTCTTTGGCAGAGCCCCCGACCGTCCGCATCGAACACCCCGAGTGGGTGCTGCGCCAAGGCGACAGCGTCAACCTCACCTGCCACATCGCCGCCGAGTCACTGGCCACTGGGGAATGGGTGGTCCCAGAGGTGGGACCCGAGCTGCCCATCGTCACCAAGGTAAGCTGATCCTCCCCGGGGCACAGCCGGCGACCTTCCCGGCAGCACCATCCCCGCTGTAGCAGCCTCTCACTGGTGGGGTGGGCATGGGGGGAGGCAGGAGCTGGCACAGCTCGGGGGAGATGGCGGGGGGCTGTTTGCTCACCCTGTCCCAGTGCTTCCCACAGCTCTCAGACTGGGAAATTGTCCTGGAGATCAGCAATGTCTCCTCTAACCTCAACCACAAAGAACTGACGTGCCGGGCGGAGAATGTAGTGGGGCCAGCAGAGGACAGCGTGATGCTGAATGTCACCTGTGAGCAGCCTGGAGGGGGCCGGCATGGGGTCCGGGTGAGGGGACTGACTCAGGAACCCACCCAGCTCTGTTTCCCCCAGTCCCCCCCGTGATCCTTCTCCTGCATGAAGCCATCCCCCAACACTTCTGGTGCATCCCCTTCTCGGTGGACGGTAATCCGGTCCCCAGCATCCGCTGGCTCTTCAATGGCACAGCCCTGGCCGAGGGACCCTACATCCACACCCGGATCGTCGAGTACGAGCACAACTCCACCGTCCTCCACGGCTGCCTCCAGCTCAACCGTCCCACGCATGTCAACAACGGCAACTACACCCTCCTGGTCCGCAATCCCCTGGGCTTTGCCACCCGCAGCATCCAGGGACGTTTCATGGAAAACCCCTTCAGCTTCAGCCCCGAGGAGCCCATCCCTGGTAGGTGCCAGGCAGAGGGGGCTGCCCCGAGGTTCCTCCCGTACCCCGGTCTTGGTGGATGAGATGTGCCACGTCTTTCCTTGCATTGGTGTGCAAAATGGGTTATATCTGGCTCTCCGAGCAAGCTCTGACGTGCCTCAGTTTCCGCCAGGATGGGAGCGGGCAAGGACGGGGCACTCTTGCTTGGAGAATAACGAGTGTTTCTCCTTTCTCTCTCCCTTTGGGCTGCACCAGTGTCTCTGTCTCCACTGGGTGAGTGAGCGGGCACACTGCACCCCACAGGGTCCCCGCTGCAGCGGGCATAACCCCCTGCCCCAGCCCCCCCTTCAAGCCATGCATCCCCCACCACCACCTTGCCGGGACCAGCCCAGGGGATGGGGACCCCTCTGCCCCATGTTCACTCTGTGCCCTTCTCCCTGCCCCAGGCACCAGGAACAGCTCTCTGGAGGGGCCCGTGGAAACAACGGACGAGCACACGTTCGGGGTGAGGGGATGCTCCGTGGTTTGGGCTGGGGGGACCAGGAGACCCACGGAAGGGTGGGACAAATCCTTAGGGTGCAGCCAAACCAGAGCCAAGTGGGATTGAGGCATGCGATTGGGGATGAAGGGCAGAGTCCCACTGCCTCAGTTTCCCCTGCAGCAGCTCCTGGGACTTGTGGCCATCACAGCCCCCCAAGGGCTGGGAGAAGGGACCTGGTGGGACCCCAACCTGAGCCCCATCCCTGCCATCACCAGGTCTCGGTGGCCGTGGCGTTGGCCGTGTTCGCCTGCCTCTTCCTCTCCATCATGCTCATCGTGCTCAACAAGTGCGGGCGCCGGTCCAAGTTCGGCATTAACCGTGAGTCCCCCCCACCTTGCCCGGCATCGTGGGGGATTCGAGCCGTGGCACAGGGACACCCTGGTTCCTGCATCCATGGGATGGCTGGGGCTGTGCTGGGTACCCGAGTTAGGACACGGCTGTGGGGTGATGGTCCCTGTGGGGTGGGGACCATGGGTGGGGACTGTGGAGGGGTGCCGGGTCCGTCCCCCCCCGCCCCCAGCAGCACGGGCAGCAGCTGCTAATTCACTCCTGGAATGGATTCAGCCTCTAAATGGGTTTGATCGGGCTGCCTGGCCCCCAGGGGCCGGCTGAGGTGGGCGGGGGGGATGCTCGGCAGAGCCTGGCACTAGCTGCACTGGTTGAGGGGGGGCTGCGGGACCCCCCCCCGATGGCCTTGTCCTTGTCCCTGCAAGGCTCGGCGGTGCTGGCCCAAGAGGATGACCTGGCCATGTCCCTGCACTTCATGAACCTGGGCAGCAGCCCCCTCTCCTCGGCAGAGAGCAAGCTGGAGGGGCTGAAAAGCAACTTCATTGAGAACCCCCAGTATTTCTGCGATGCCTGTAAGGGCTGGGGTGGGAGACGACACGACCGCGGTTCCCCAGCATCCTCCCATGCACTCGTCCCTGTCCCGGGGTGGGGGGGGCACTGACGGTTGGGGGTCCCCCCAGGCGTGCATCATGTGCAGCGGCGGGACATCGTGCTGAAGTGGGAGCTGGGCGAAGGTGCCTTCGGGAAGGTTTTCTTGGCCGAGTGCTACAACCTTCTCCCAGAGCAGGAGAAGATGCTGGTGGCCGTGAAGGTGAGGAGGGGGGGACAATGCTGGGGGGGCAGTGGGGGGTGTTGGTCAATGCCGGGCTGACGCCGTGTGCCGGCAGGCGCTGAAGGAGGTGACGGAAAGCGCCCGCTTGGATTTCCAACGTGAAGCCGAGCTGCTGACGGTGCTGCAGCACGAACACATCGTCAAGTTTTACGGCGTCTGCACCGAAGGCGAACCCCTCATCATGGTCTTCGAGTACATGAAGCACGGCGACCTCAACCGCTTCCTCAGGTGGGTTCGGGGGCAGGGGGGGGTCCCATCCCACCCCCCCCCACTGCTGTTCCATCAGCACAGCCAGCCTGCTCCCTGCTAATGCAGCCCTCCTTGCAATATTGATTAGATTAGCTGTCTGAGAGGCTTAAATAGAGAGAGATTGGCCATCAGCTGGAATAAGCAGAGACTTTTCGATTGCCCCCCCAGGTATTGCTGCTAGACGGGGGGGGGGGGGGGGGGGGCTGCCAGAGGCATCGCTTTAGTGGCCGTGCGATGAGCTCTGAGACGTGGCTTTTATGATTATTGTTATGGGAGTTGGCATTAATGGTTCTGCCGAGCAGAACCCCCCCCCAGCTCCCGGCCGCAGCAGCCCCAGCACAGTTGTCAACCGCGCTCAGCATCAAAGGCAGAGCGGCTGGAGGCGGCCGGAGCCACGCTGGCCCCTGGCCTGCCTCGCACGCCCCGCTTCACACGCGCCGTCACGCTTTCACACCCGGCCTGCGTGGGCTTGCAGCCCCTGACACGCAGCCTTCCCTGGCGTGACGGTCCGTGCATGTGCATGCATGCATTCGCACACGTACACACCCTTCTCTGGCAGTTGTGCACACCTTTTCCCTGTGCATGCACACCCTTCCCTGGCATGCATGCATACAGGTGCACATTTTTCCCCTGTGCATGCACACACACGTGCACGCTCTTCCCTGGGATGTGTGCACATATGCATATATGCTTCCCCTCTGTGCATGCACGTGTGCGCACCCTTCCCTTGCATGCATACATACAAGTGCACGCGTGCCAGGGAAGGATGCACAAATGCGTGTGCATGCCCTTGCCCTGGGTGCCTGCACACACGCGCACACCCTTCTCTGGCATGTGTGCACACAAGTGCACACCTTTTCCATGTGCATGCCTTCCCCCTGTGCATGCACACACGTGCACACCCTTCTCCAGCATGCATGCGCACAGGTGTGTGCCCACCTCTGTTATCTGCGCACATATGTGCACACCCTTCCCCTGTGTGCACGCACACATGTGTACGCCCCTCCCTGGCATGCATGCACATATGTGTGTGCCCTTCCCCTGTGTGCATGCACACACATGTATACATCCTCCCCTGGCAAATGGGCACATGTATGTGTGTGCAATTCCCCTGTGTGCATGCACACACGTGCATACCCTTCCCTGGCACGCACGCATACCTGCTCGGCCCTTTCCCCTGTGCATGTGTGCAAATGTGCACACCCTTCCCTGGCATGCACGCATACAAGTGCATGCCTTTCCCTTGTGCGTGCACACACACGCACACCCTTCCCTGGCACATGTGCATGCCCTTCCCCTATGTGCCTGCACACACACGTGCACTTCCTTCCCTGGCACGCATGCATATGTGTGTGCACCCACCCTTCCCCTGTGTGCATGCACGTGTGCACCTCCTCCCTGGCACGCGTGTGCGCAGCCCTTCCCCTGCTTTTGCACGCCCTCTCCCACACACGTATCTGCCCACCCACCCCCATATGCGTCTTGTCCCCCGCTCCGAGCAGCCCCTCTGCCCTGGCAGGTCTCACGGCCCCGATGCCAAGATCCTGGACCAGGGGCAGGGGCAGCCCTGCGGGCAGCTGACGCTGAGCCACATGCTGCAGATCGCCACGCAGATCGCTTCGGGCATGGTCTATCTCGCCTCCCTCCACTTTGTCCACCGTGACCTGGCCACCCGTAACTGCCTGGTGGGCCATGACCTGGTGGTGAAGATCGGGGATTTTGGCATGTCCCGGGACATCTACAGCACTGACTATTACCGGGTGAGTGGGCTGGTGAGCTGCCCCCTCCTTGCCCACAAGCTGGGACAGGCTGGGAGGGGCAGGCACGCTCAATTTTCCCTCTTAGCTGCTGCCTCCATCTCCGTCCATATTTAATCATAGACTGGGTTGGAAGGGACCTTTAAAGGTCACCTAGTCTGACACCGCCCCCCGCCATGAGCGGGGACATCTCCCACTCGATCGGGTTGCTCAGAGCCCCGTCCAACCCGACCTCGAATGTCTCCAGTGATGGGGCATCGACCATCTCTCTGGGCACCCTGGGCCGGTGTCTCACCACCTCCAGTGTAAAACATTTCTTCCTGACATCTGGCCTGAGGCGTGCTTAATGAGCAGGGCTAGGGCTGGGGAGGGGCAAGTGGTGGTGGGCTGTGTCCCTGCCCCGCTGACGCCCCGCTGTGGGCAGGTGGGGGGCAGGACCATGCTGCCCATCCGCTGGATGCCCCCCGAGAGCATCCTCTACCGTAAATTCACCACTGAGAGTGATATCTGGAGCTTCGGTGTGGTGCTCTGGGAGATCTTCACCTACGGGAAGCAGCCCTGGTACCAGCTCTCCAACACCGAGGTGAGCGAGGGAGGGGGATGAGGATGGCAGCAGACCCCCATGGGGGTACCTGGGGGGGGGGGTGGGGTGTTGGGGTGGGGTACTCCATCTCCATCCCTGGTTCCCGCAGGCCATTGAGTGCATCACGCAGGGACGGGAGCTGGAACGTCCTCGCACGTGTCCCTCCGAGGTGTACGCCATCATGCAGAGCTGCTGGCAGCGGGAGCCCCAGCAACGCCGGCCCATCAAGGAGATCCACAGCCGTCTTCAGGCCCTCGTCAAGACCCCCCCCGTCTATCTGGACATACTAGGCTGAGCGGGGACCCCCACCCAACCTCCGCTCCTTGCTGTTCCCCCTGCCCTCCCTGCTGCCCGGGGCTGTGGCTCTCCCCCAACCCAATGGAGCCCCTTGGACTGATGCCTTGATGGGGGGAGAGGGCTGAAACCTTATTTATAGTGGAAAATGCCAGCCCAGCAGCATGGGGGGGGCTGTAGGGCTGGGCTGGGGGACCCCCAAGGCTGTGCCCCCCTGAGGTTGTGGTCATGCTCCCAGGCTCCTTGGCATTTCCCTGGCATGTTGGGCGGGAGGTGCTTGGCTGATATAGGGTTTGCTCTGGGGAGGGGCAGGCAGAGCTGAAAGCCCCTCCAGCACTGGGTCTATGCCGGTGTGGGAGCTGGGGGGGCTCAGCTCTCTGGGGGGATGTGGGCAGCCTGTGGCTTGGCTGCTCCTTTGTCCCCCATCCCAGTTCCTGGCTGGTGGGGACACCCCACGCTCGCCCGCTCTGCAGCAAAACTGGTCGATAATAAAACTGTCCATCTCTTCCCTGCGCTGGGACCCACCTGCTCTGGGGTGTCTGCCAGACATGGGGTGGGATGGAGGGCTTTTGGGGAGAAAAAGGGGCTTTTTGGAGCTGGGAGGTTCCGGCTGGGGAGCTGGAGGGGATGTACTGCCCCAGGAATTCCAGGATGCAGGGATGATGTGTACCCAGGATTCTGGGATGCAGGGATGATGTGTGCCCAGGATCGCAGGATGTTGTGTGCCTGGGATGCAGGACCGATGTCCCTGTCCCCAGCCCAGAGAAGGATTATTTTGTCTATGCCACGGGGACCACCTTGGGCATCCCTCGAGGGATGCTCACGCTATACCCTAGCCTGGGCACCTGGGTCCCCTCACCAAGGGGTCTGGAGTGGGATGGGACCTCACAGCACAAAGCCAACCCCCCGCCCAAAAAGGACAAAACCCTCCCTTCCCCACACCCCGTCATTGGAGCCAGGGGGTTATCGCATGCCCTGTAGCATCCACTTCATCATCTTTTCCCTGGGCTCTTGGGCCGCCTTGGTAATGGTTGAGACCTGGATCTGACTGTAATGGAGCTGAATTGATTTCATCTGGCTAATTAGGTAGTGCAGGCAGGGCCCTGGCAGCTCCTTTGTTACCCACTGCGACCTGAGATAAGCACGAGGAAAGTGGTGTCACAGGGGAAACTGAGGCACGGTGCAAGGTGGGAGCAGCCGGTGGGGGGTTCCGTGGCAGTTGCCGAGGGGCTTGGGGCTGGCACGGCGCACAGCTGTGCCAGGTGGCCAGGGCTGGATGCGGCATGATGAGAGCTGGAGGAAACTGGAGCCGTCCCCAGCGTCCTGTGGCTCCCAGCCTGTAATCCATCCACAAACCCTGCAGCGGGGCTGGATCCAGCCCCCAGCCTGGGGCTCCGGTCCCTCCATCTGGCCCTAAATCTTTGCTGAGGGTCCAGCCCCAGGGACATGGGGAGCCAGCGTGGGCAGGATCCAGTCCCGCTCGAGCGCAGCCCAGCTGGCAGAGCCCCCCACCTGCTTCCTTGGGGTCTCTCTAATCACTGCCTGTGCTGATTTATGGCCTTTTTCCCTCTTATCTAATTTGAGGAAGGAACAAGATTACAACCTTGAGCTTTTCCAGCCCCGTGCCGCAGATTGCCGCAGACCAACGCCCCAGAAGGGACCATGCATGGTGGTGAACCGCCCCCCCAAGCAAGGTGGGCTTCCCCGCTGCCGTGCCTCAGTTTCCCCCATGGGACGGCAGTGCCTCAGTTTCCCCCATGGAGGTGGCTGTGCCTCAGTTTCCCCTTTAGGCTGGTCAGGGAAGGGTTAAGCCCCCCCCCCAGCCCCTCTCCCTGAAGGGTTCAACCCTGATTGATTTTATTCCCCCCCTCCTGCTGCAGTTTCTCCATTTCACTCGCTCCAGGGGGAGCGGTAATGGACTCTGGCAATGAGGTAATTAACGGCTCTGCTCCCTGGCAAAGCTGCCCGCCCCAGCGGCACCACGGTCTGGCCCCACTAACGGGGGTTAATGAAGGTTGGGGGGTCCCGGGCCCGATTCTGCCTCTTGCAGCCAACACAACTGCAAAGAGTCACTGGTGGGCCATGGCCGCATCCTGCACAGGGGGTCCCACCCCAGCCCAACTGCCCTCCTGCTCCCCGATGCTGCTACCTCGGATGCTGGTGGGGCTGGGTTTGCTCCCTGGGGGGTCCCACTCCCCCAGAAGCCCCTATGGGGACCCCTGGGTCCCTCCTAAGGAGTCCAGCCATTTGTTTTGGGGTTCCCCCTCCCTCCCAAGGATAGGGGGGATGGTTTTGGGGGATGCAGCTGTGTCCCAGCACTGTGGGTCCTGGGGGGGCTGAGCACTGGCTGGACCTTGCGCAGCCCCCAGCTGCCCCTAAGTGCACTTGGGGGTCCCCGTCCCCTCCGGCACCGGGGGTCTCAGGGGAGCTGCAAAGGCATCTCGGTCCTAAGGCACAGCTGAAGTGCTGCTGAAGTGTCCCTGAGCAATATTTCCCCACTGCCCTGGGGACGCCCTGGGGACACCTTATTTAAGAGCATCAGGGGGCAGTGGGGCACTTCCACACCAGATTCCTGGCTCTGGATGTCCCCAGCTTGTCCCGGCCCTGATGTCCCCAGCCCAGGACCCCTCTGCATCCACAACCCCCACAGCCTTGGTGCTCATCCCTGCTCTGGGAAGTGCCATTTCGGGGTGGCCACAGCAGACCCCCAGCTGTGGGTGGGCTTGATCCTAATGGAACCCCAGGGCTGGTAAGGGGGAGGGGGGGCAGCTGAGCCACCCTGGGACATGAAAATCTTTATGAGTGATTAGAGCTATTACTGTAACGAGGAAAGGCAATTAACGGCGCCTTGACATCAGTTGAGGCCAGCTAATGTACGTGTGCTTGCTGGGAGCAGGGGGCGGCTGGCCATGGGGAGGTGGGAGACACATGTGGTGCTGAGCTGCCTGGCCGGGGGTCCCAGGATGGGGGTGAGACGTGGCGGCGGATCCTGGGATGTAGGTGGGATGTATGGTCAGGAGCCCGGAATATAGGTTAGTAGGTGTGATATATGGCCAGGATCCCAGGGATGTAGGAGTGATATATGGCCAGGATCCTGGGATACAGGGCTGGTGCAAGGCCAGGGATTCCAGGATATGGGGGTGATGTATGGCCAGGGGTCCCAGGATGCAGGGGAAACACATGGCCAGGGATCCCGCCATGTAGGGATGGGGTCTCTGGGATGCAGAGGTGATACATGCCTGTGATCCTGGGATGCAGACATGATGTGTTTCTGGGATGCAGACATGATGTGTTTCTGGGATTCTGGGATGTGGGGATGTGTGCCTGGGGTGCTGAGAGGCAGGGACAATCTGTGCCCAGGATGCAGGGACAACATGTGCCTGGGATCCTGGGATGCAGGAATGATGTGTACCTGGGATGTCAGGATGTGGGGACAATGTATGCCCAGGATGCTGGGATGCATGTATGATGTGTGCCCAGGATGCAGGGAAGATCTGTGCCTGGAATGCCAGGACGATGTGTACCTGGGATGGCGGGATGCGGCAACAACATGTGCTCGGGGTGCAGGGGCGATGTGTGCCCGGGCTGCAGGGATCCTGGGACGGTGTGTGCCCGGGATGCTGGGCACCAACCCTGGGCTCTGCTCTGCGCTGCCACCAGATGCTGCTGTTCAGCCGAAGGAAACCTCCGTCCCCGCTGCCCCTCACAGCACAGAGCAGCAGCCGCTCCGCCGGGGGTCCCGTCTGCCCCCCCCCCCCCCCCCCCGACCCTGCGGGACACCCCAGATCAAGACCTGCACCCATGGGTGCCAGCCCTGGGTGGGGACCTCTGGGGAGGAGAAGCCGGGGGTGGGTGCAGAGCTCCCCACTCCCGGCGGTGCCACGGTCTCCATCCGCTCCTGTGCAGAGTCCTGCTGTCACCAGCCGTGGGGTGGGCAGAGCTAGCCCCACTGCCGAAGGGTCACTGGTCCCCACAGAGACCTCAGGAGATGGGGACACCATCCAGCACTGGGACCCGGCCGAGGGGCCGCGCTGGGATGTCCCCACAGACCCCCGCCCCACCCAGCGCCGTGTGCGAGCGGCCCCGGTGATGATGTTGTTCCAAAACACGCTGGTTTCTGGCCAGAAAAGAAAAAAAAAAGAAAAAAACCCTAAGGTTTTTTTTTTTTTTCCCTTTTCCGTAGTCATCTCCGCGTCCAAACTTCCTGAGAGTGGCTCTGGCCCTCCCTCCACTTCCGACGGCTGCGTTGTGCCGTCCCGGCTGGCTGAGGCAACGGGCCAGGCCAGCCCCGCGTGGGGGGCCATCGCACCCCAACCCTGCCTGCCACCACGGCCCCCGGCCAGGTGAGTGCCACCATCCCCAGCCTGGGGCACTTGGGTCCTGGGGGTGGGTTTGGGGGGATTTGCACTGTGCCCTGCCAGGGTGCTGCTGGAGGCAGTGGTCCCGAGTACCATGGCGGGGGCTTGGGGACATCGCAGGTCCCCATGGCTGAGGCAAAGGGACAGAGGCGGGGGGGAACGGTGGGGGTGGGACAGTGGATGGGGTGTGGGACGGTGCTGCGACACCCGTGGTGACCTGATTGCTGACCCTAACCCTGACCCTAACCCCAACCCCAACCCTAACCTTCACCCTCGCCCCCCTCACCCTCACCCAGCCCCATCCCTGTGGGTTCGCAGCCCCCGGAGGAAACGTGTCAGCCCTTGGAGGAAGCGCAGGGGCAGAGATAGTGGCTCTGGGGGGGGGCCCAGCACAGTGCCCGCCCGGGGATGGGCCAGGGCTGGTCCCCTGGTCCCCAGCCCTCACCCCAGCCACCCCCCCCCATCACTGGCAGGCCATGGTCCCCATCCTACTCAGGGGGTGCTTGGGGCACCCATGGGTTGGGGAGCACTGGCTCTTGTGGAGTCTCTTGCCACTATGGCAACTTTGGGGGGGCTCTTCCCCACTGCTGGGCCCCCCAACGAGGAGCAGATGGGGCCTGGCAGTGTGTTTTGATGAATCCTCGCTTTTCCTGCCAGCATCTCCCAGCGGTTCCTGTTGTTGCAGCCGTGCTGGGACCCCCCAACCCCCTCCCTACATTGCTAGAGCAGGGGATGGGGCCGGATGGGGAGGGCTGGGAGGGTGTCCCCCAGTTCTGTTCCCTAGGAGGGTCCAGGGGAGGGAATTTTGCCTGTGGATGAGCAATTAACTCCTCACCACCAGGAGCTGATGGGAAATGGGGGGAAACTTTCCCACTAAACAGTTTTTCCACACAAAACTGGCTGCTCTGGGACAAAGGGGGGTCGCTCCCTCCCTCCACCCCCTTATTTGGCCCCAAACCACAGCACAGCCCTGGCGAGGGGGAGGATGGACTCGGGGGGCTGCCGGGACAGCACTTTTGGGGTGTCCCATGGCTGGAGTGGCATGGAAGTGGCCATAAATCCAGCTGTGCCGACCAGGAAACCTCTGTTTCCTCCCCCGGCACGCGTGTGTTTAGCCATAAAACACGTGTCCCGGTAAACACAGCACCGCAGGCTCGGGGGGCTCGCTGTCCCTCCCCTGCCGCTGGCCCCCAGGCTGGCGGTGATCCCAGAGCCGCCCCGGCAAAGCCGGACCCTCGCTGGGTTGAGCAAGAAGCCAATGGATCCAGGAAACGCAACTGGGAATAAACATGAAATGGGTTGAAACGGGGCCACGAGGCACCATGCCAGGGTCGGGAGCCGCTGTGCCGAACTCCTCCCCAGCACCCCGGGTACGCCCCTCCCCAGCAGCACCCCACACTGGGATGGGGTGCGGTGGGAGAGGTCGCGGTGATGCCAGGATGCAGCCCTGGGGTGTCTCGGGATGCGGAGATAGGGCTGCGTGGGAACACCCAGGCTGCTGAGCGGCCGTGCCTCAGTTTCCCCTTGGCACAGGCTGGTGCTGGGGGAGCAGCGGGGGCCGGGGTTGGGGCTGTTCCCGTGCACAGAGGAATGCAAAGCCAGGTCCGAGGGGAGGCCGGAGCCTGTGCCGAAGCCCAGGCCGGGGGTGGTGGGTGGGGAGCAGGAATGCAGCGAGGCGGAGGGCGAAGCTGTCTCCCTGCTGTCTCCGTGTGCAGGATGGTGCTGCGGGCCGTGGTGCTGGCGATGCACGCCTGTCTCCTGGCCACCCTCCGCCCCAGCGACCCCAATGTCTGCAGCTACTGGGAGAGGTAGGAAGGAAGGGGGGGACTGGGGTGGGGGGGGTGATGGCGGTGAGGCCTCCCAGGACCCACCATCACCCCACGTCCTCTCCTTCGGCAGCTTCACAGCAGCGGTGAAGGAGTCCTACACCAAACCCCATGTCGTGTCCTCCACCGAGCCCTGTCCCAGGGCGCTGGGCTCCCCCCTGCCCTGCCTGCAGCAGAGGTGGGAGCAGCCCCGGCCCCACCTTGGGGACTGCAGGGTATCCCCATGGCTATGGGGGGGGGCTGGAGCAGGTCTGTCCCACTGTGGGGTGTCCCTATGGCTATGGGGGGGCTGGAGCGGGGCTGTCCCACTGTGGGGTGTCCCTATGGCTATGGGGGGGCTGGAGCGGGGCTGCTCCCATCCTAACAGTGCTGGTGTGGGGCGCAGGATAGTGTACCGCACCGAGTACCGGCAGGCAGTCCGGACCGATTACCGGAGACGCTACCAGTGCTGCTTGGGCTACTACGAGAGCCGGGACACCTGCGTCCGTGAGTGGGGCAAGGAGGGGGAGCGGCGGGGGGGGTGTCCCGGGGGCCATATCCTGGCTCCTCAAAGCCCGTCCCCCCCCCGGCTTTGTCCCCACAGCACGCTGCACCCAGGAGTGCGTCCATGGCCGGTGCGTGGCTCCCGACCTCTGCCAGTGCGAGCCGGGCTGGCGGGGCACCAACTGCTCCAGCGGTGAGGGACGGGTGTCGGGGTGCTGGGTGCGTGGGGTGGGGGAGCACGGAGGTGGGGACCCCCAGCTGGGGGTGGCAGGGTGGGGCAGTGGCTTTCCCTGGAGAGCTGGGCAGCCTGGGGTGGGACACCCTGGTTGGTTAATGGGGATGGGGAGAAGGATGGAGATTGGGATGGGATGGAGATGGGATTGGGATAGGGATGGGATATGGATGAGATTGGGATGGGATGGATAATAAAATGGGGACAGGGAATGGGATGGGGATGGAGATGGGATGGGATACACGTGAGCTGGAGATAGGATGAGGATGGGATGGGCATGGGAATGGGATGGGGATAGAGAATGGAATGGGGCTGGGGTGGGATGGGGATGGAGATAGGAGGAGGATGGGATGAAGATGGATGATGGGGCTGGGATGGGGACGTACCGGTGGTCTCCCCCATGCAGAGTGTGATGAGCAGTCATGGGGGCCGGGCTGCGGACACCACTGCAACTGCCACCATGGGGCCCCCTGCGACCCTCTGAGCGGGGTCTGCTCCTGCCCCCCTGGCTTTGCCGACCCACTGTGCCACCAGCCGTGCCCACCCGGCACCTACGGCCAGGGCTGCCGCCTGTCCTGCCCCTGCCACCACCGGGCCCCCTGCAACGCCTCCACCGGTGCCTGCCTCTGCCCCCCGGGGCTGGCCGGCCCCCTGTGAGTAGGGGCTCCCCACTCTGCACCACTGCCCCCAACCCTGGCACCCACCCGGGTGGGGGTCCCGCTCACCCTTCGCCCCCTCTCCCTGCAGCTGCGAGGTGCACTGCCCCGAGGGGATGACCTGCAGCAACCCCTGCCCTTGCCAGAATGGGGGGATCTGCCACCCCGCCAGCACTGGCACTTGTGTCTGCCCCCACGGATGGATGGTAGGTAGGCTGCGACCCCCCCTCAACGCGGTCCCTGACTCAGTTTCCCCTGCTGACCCCGGTGCTCTTTTGCAGGGGGAGATCTGCTCTGTGCCGTGCCCCCCCGGGCGCTTCGGTCCTGGCTGTCAGGGCGAGTGTCGTTGCCACAACGGGGGCCACTGTGACCCCCAGGGGGGACAGTGCCAGTGTGCCCCCGGCTTCACCGGAGAGCAGTGAGGGGGGGGGACTGGGCATGGGGGGGACAGGGGGTTGGGGGGCAGG